TCACGCCCTGGGCCCAAGGCAGGCACTAAACCACTGAGCCACCCAGAGATCCCAGAAATATGTTTTATAACAAAGTATTTTCCACATATTGTTTTGCTAGTTTCTAAGGACTAGAGGTTATATATTTTTTTAAGATTTTATTTATTTATTCATGAGACACATACACACACACACACACACACACAGAGGCAGAGACACAGACAAAGGAGAAGCAGGCTCCATGCAGGAAGCCTGATATGGGACTCGATCCCGGGACTCCAGGATCACACCCTGGGCCGAAGGCAGGTGCCAAACCGCTGAGCCACCCAGGGATCCCCTATATTTTGTTTTTATATTTTTATGTGTATTATGCATTTCTTTTCAATGACTGAACTATTTATATAATCACAGAAATATATATATATATAAAACACATTTTTCCACTTTAGTTAAAGAAAAGCACTTCTGGAAAGCTATTTCTGTTTTAAAAGTCATTACAGATGGTCTAATGTATCACCTAGTTTACTTCAGCTTGAACAATTACTACACTGTGTCTATATATATGTATGTATGTGTATGTATATATGTGTGTATGTTTAGACTTGAGACAGTATGTATTTATAACTACACAGTGTATATAAAATAGACACAGTATGTCTGTGCAACTAAACAGTATGTATATAGCTGACACAGTATACATATGTAACTAACTACACAGTGTCTGTATACCTGCTAATGAGAGACATTGTGAAACTCTAGAAAATTGTATGTATACTCACCTCTCTAATACTATGAAAACCTTTGGCCTGGATTTCTACATTGTGAAGACAGTTCAATGATAGTTTAGTCAATGTATAAATGCTTGAGTGCAACCCAGGTAGGCAGAGAGACTTTAACTCTACCATACAACATAACTATGAGCAATCTAAAAGACTTTTTACATCATGAACAGAAACCACTTTTAGACACATAGCAAGTGAGTGAAAATGTCAAGCAAAATTGGTAAGTGGTTAAGTGAAAAGCAAAGTACTTAATATAATGCTAGTTTAATAGTTCTATTGTGTGACCACTACTTTAGTCAAGTGTGAATAAATTGAAGCCTGTGTCCTTATGCAACCTCTCATTTCAAATTCCTCATAAATAAAACAGGACCCAGAATATCTGGCTGGCATCCTATCCTAGGCAAAGTTCTTCAGGTAATAAGGAAGTTATGTGTAGGATCTCTACTCTGACTGAACAATCTGAGACATGCATGTGGCATGCTGAGCACCTGGGAAGCAACTACAGCCAGTATGCCAACATGATAATGATACTCTGTAGCTTCTTTTTCTTTATCACTCCCTCTTTCCCCTCCTCTTCCTCCTTTTTGGAATCCTGTAGCTTCTTCTTCCTTTTTTTTAATTTAAAATTACTTAATTAACATACAGTGAAGTATTGGTTTGGGGAGTAGAATTCAGTGAGACTTCACTTAGAAACAACACCCAGTGCGCATCACAAAAACTGCCTTCTTTAATACCCATCACCCATCTAGCCCATTTTCTACCTACCTCCATCAAACCTCAGTTTGTTCTCTGTCTTTAAGAGTCTTTTATGGTTTGTTTCCCTCTCTCATTTTTTTCTCTCTCCCATATGTTCATCTGTTTTGTTTCTTAAATTCTGCGCATGAGTGAAATCATGTGGTATTTCTCTTTCTCTGACTGACTTATTTCACTTATCATAATACTCTCCAGTTCCATCCACATTGTTGCAAATGTAATATTCCACTGTGTGTGTGTGTGTGTGTGTGTGTGTGTGCATGACATCTTCTTTATCCGTTCACCAGCTGACTGGCATTTGGACTCTCTGTAGTTTGGCTATTGTTGATAATGCTACTATAAATTTTGGGGTACTTGTATTCCTTTCAATCCATATTTTTGTATCCTTTAGGCAAATACCTACTTTACTTCTTTAGTTAGGTTTATTCCTAGGCGTCTTATTATTTTTGATGGAATGGCAAAGCAGATTGATTCTTTGGTTTCCTTTTTCTACTTCTTTGTTATTGGTGCATAGAAATGCAACCTATTTCTGCACATTGATTTCAGATCCTGCTACTTTGCCGAGCTCATGGATGACTTCTAGCAATTTTTTGGTGCAGTCCTTCAGGGTTCCTACAGAGTATCAGATTGTCTGCAAATAGAGAAAGTTTGACTTCTTCCTTGCTGATTCAGATGCCTTTTATTTCTTTGTGTTTTCTAATTGCTGAGGCTAAGACTTCCGGCACTCTGTTAAATAGTGATGGTGAGAGTAGACATCCTTGTCTTATTCCTGACCACAGGGGAAAGGTTCTTAGCTTTTCCCCACTGAGGATGATATTAGCTGTGGGTCTTTCATATATGGCTCTTATGATGTTGAGGTATGTTCTCTCTATCCCTGCTCTGTTGATGGTTTTTATCAAGCATGGATGCTGTATTTTGTCAGATGCTTTTTCTGCATCTATTGAGAGGATCATATGGTTCCTATCCTCTCTTTTATTAATGTGGTGTATCACGTTGATTGATTTGGGAATAGCAAACCAGCCCTGTAGCCCGGGAATACATCCCACTTGATCATGGTGAATAACTCTTTTAATATACTGTTGGATTCCATTGGCTAGTATTTTTTTGAGAATTTGTACATCCGTGTTCATCAGGGATATTGGCCTGTAATTCCCCTTTTTAGTGGGGTCTTTGTCTGGTTTTGGAACTAAAGTAATGCTGGCTTCATAGAATGAATTTGGAAGTTTTCCTTCCATTTCCACCTTTATGGAATGTTTTGGGAAGAATAGGTATTAACTCTTCTTTAAATGTCTGGTGGAGTTCCCCTGGGAAACCATCCAGCCTAGGACTTTTGTTTGTTAGGAGGTTGTTGATTACTGATTCAATTTCTTTGCTGGTTATGGGTCTGTTCAAATTTTCTATTTCTTTCTGTTTCAGTTTTGGTAGTTTGTAAGTTTCTAGGAATTTGTCCATTTCTTTCAGATTGCCCAGTTTGTTGGCATGTAATTTTTCATGTATTTTTAAAATTGTTCTTGAATTTCCTTATTAACCCATTCATCCTTTAGTAGGATGTTCTTTAACCTGCATGTATTTGAGGTCTTGCCAAATTTTTTCTTGTGGTTGGCTTCTAGTTTCCTAGCATTGTGGTCTGAAAATATGCATAGCATGATCTCAATCTTTTTGTACTTGTGGAGGGCTGATTTGTGACCCAGTGTGTGATCTCTTCTAGAGAATGTTTGAGGTGCACTAGAGAAGAATGTGTACTCTGTTGCTTTAGGGTAACAATTCTGGATATATCTGTTAAGTCTGTCTTGCCCAGTGTGTTCTTCAACACCATTGTTTCCTTGTTGGTTTTCTGCTTAGATGATGTGTCCATTGCCATAATTGGGATGTTAAAATCCCCTACTGTTATTGTATTATCATCAGTGAGTTTCTTTATGTATGTTATTAATTAATTTATATATCTGGGTTTTCTCACATCGGGGGCATAAATATTTCCAATTGTTAGATCTTCTTGATAGATAGACCCCTTAATTATGATAAAAAGCCTCCTTCATCTCTTGGTCTTTGTTTAAAAATCTAGTTTGTCTGCTATAAGTATGGCTACTTTGACTTTCTTTTGACATTCGTTAGCATGATAGATGGTTCCCTATCCCCTCACTTTCAACCTGCAGGTGACTTTAGTTCTAAAATGAGTCTCTTGTAGGCAGCATATAGATGGATCATGTTTTTCAATCCGTTCTGATATCTGTATCTTTTGACTGGAGCAGTTAGTGCATTTACATTCAGAGTGATTATTGAGAGATGAATTTACTGCCATTGTGTTACCTCTAGAGTTGGTGTTTCTGGTCATGTTTTCTGGTCCTTTCTAGTCTTTATTGCTTTTGGTCTTTTTTTTTCCCCCACTCAAAGCCTCCCTTTAAATTTCTTGCAGGGCTGTTTTTGTGGTCACAAACTCCTTCAGTTTTGTTTGTCTTTTTAGCAGACTCCCCACTGAATGGGAACCTGATACTATCTCCATCTAATGACCCTGAGATTGTAACCTGAGCCAAAATCAAGAGTCAGGTGGTTAACTGACTAAGCCACCCAGGGACCCAAATAAAGAGTGAGAGTGAGAGTGATAGAATATAAGCAAGGAGAGTGGCATACAGAAAGGGAGAAACAGATCCCCTGCCGAGCTGGGAGCCAGACGGGCTCAGTCTCACCTCCCTGGGATTGTGACCTGAGCTAAAGGCAGATGCTTAACCAACTGAACCATCCAGGTGCCCCCAGATAAATAGATTTTTAAAAAAATGGCTGCAAATTTATTGCCACATCTCCTATAGAGAGATAGATTCCATTTCTCCTTGCCTTGAATTTGGGCTTTCCCTATGAACTATCCCTTTTATTTTCTTAAAGATTTTATTTATTTATTCATGAGAGAGACAGAGAGAGAGGCAGAGACATAGGCAGAGGGAAAAGCAGACTCCATGCAGGGAGCCCAATGTGGGACTCAATCCTGGGACTCCAGGACCATGCCCTGGGCTGAAGGCAGGCACTAAACCCCTGAGCCACCCAGGGATCCTGCCTATGAACTATCCTGATCAATGGAATGCAACAAAAAGGGAGTTGTGTGTAAAATGGGTCTTAAGAGATTTTAAGCTTGGAATTTTGCTACTTCAAACACTGTCTTGGAAGCTAGCCACATGAGTGTGTCATTCTGTGGGGAAACCGTGTTAGACATATGTAGAGAGAGCGAGCCGTGGTGCAAGTGGATAGCTTCAAGGTACCAGTCATGTGTCTGCAGCATTTATGACCTTCCAAATTTTCCCAATTTTGGAGAAGATGAAAACAAAGTAGTAGAGTTATGTTTTTGAAAAAATTAATTGTTATTTATAGTTAAAATATGTACAAATGTATTTAAACCATAATTTTAGGAAAAAATAGTATGCTTTTATATATAATTGCAAAGAATTAAGATCATTTAGCTTTGGCACTAAAGCAAGTATAAAATTAAATGATCCCCATCAAACTTTTTGGCACCTTATCCAGCATTCCTTATACCATTTATTTACAAGCTTTGAAGGATTATAAACATGTGACACAGTTATTAAGTCCAATATAAATTGCTTCATAATATAAAATATCCTGTTTAAGTTATGCCCTTTTTGAGAATGAACAAGGAAAAGTCTTATTTAGCCCGCAGTCTATGATATAGTTTCTATGCTGGTAGTTCTTTCCACCATCTGGAGTACCCTTATTTCATTACCATGTTTTTGTTGTTGTTGTTGTTTTGTGGGGTTTGTTTTTTTTTTTCAGCTTAGAATCTAAGCAGACCATATACTAACTGTATCCAGGAGTCACATCATTGGCAATAAACTGAGCAGTGTCCATACACAAGAGAACCATACATTGTTTCCACGAGGTTAATTGTCTTTACTATTGGTGCCTTCCTCTGATGGCATCCAGCACAAGACCACTTGGCAAGCATGATGCCCATTTGAGCCCATGACTTTGGCCAAATTGTACTTGACTTTGTTCATTGTGGATATCACCCCTTTGGCCACTCCTAATACCCTCAATCCAAAATAGAAAATTGGAGGGATGGAATTGGGTTATAAGACAGTTTCCCCTGATGGAACCAACCCAGTATCACCCTAAATAAGGATAGTGATAAAAATCCTTATTACAGAATTACTGAAATGTACATTATACTAATTACAAGCTTTATAATTTTAGAACTGTACAAAAGTTTGAAACAAGAATTATGAAGTTTATTTAAGTGGTGATTGTTCCAGTTTCTATAATTTCTCAAACTTTTGTGTCTTTAGCAAAAGTGAACAAGAAAAGTTTGTTCTGATATTTAGCTCTTTAGAGTAAGATGCATGTATCATCCAATGAGACAACATTCCTCTGGAGATCCTGGATTTCATTTTGAAGGCTTCTGCGTTCAGTTTCGATTTCCCTATTGAGATTTTCAGCCTCTTCCTAAAGAATGATAAATAAAACAGGAGAGCTTAGCAGAAAGTAATGTCTATATCACTTGTGGGGGGAAACCCAAATCATTGACTTCTTTGTTTATTTTAACCTGTCAGTAAGTAACAAAAGACAGTCACAGAATTCTTCTTTTCCATTCATGTGCATTTCTCATTCTTGGCTTCTTTCATAGATAGAAAAAGGTAAATTAATTTAATAAGGTTATCATAACCAAAGAAGACTATCTAGAGCAATGAACAAGATAACAATAAAAATTGCTAGGGGATAGAAAGGTCCTGGGCTTTTATTTAACACATTTTAGTGCTTATTCTAGAACAAACACAATTCTAAACACAAATGTTCTTATTTAATTATCAAAATAACCCTATAAAATGGGCATAATTATGGTCCCCATTTTCCACAAGAGGAAACCAAGGCATAGAGGGGATAGATAGGTTGTTCAAACCATGTATTTAGTAGGAGGTAGAGCTGGGATTCATACCCAGGACATCTGACTCCAGAGTCCTTGACCTGAGCTGCAGTACTGTGCTGCCTCTCTGCCTTGTCACTGCTTCATGCCCTCATCAATACAGGGAGGAGAGATATGGTTAAAATCCTGAGATGAAATAATTGATGCATACCTGGAATCGACGTTCCAGGGCCCTCTGCTGTTGTTGCAACTGGTATTCTCTGAATATTTGTATCTGTCTTATTTGTTCCTGATAGAGCCGCTCCCTTTGCATCATCATTTGCTGTTTCTGCCTTTGAATTGTCTCCAACCTTTGTGCTACAATCTTCGCAGCCTGTGCTTTCCTATTTGCCTCTGAGGAAGAAAATGACAACCCTCTAGGATTAAGGAGCCTCTTCCTTCTGTTCCCCACTCTTGTTATTGCTACTGCCTCATAAAGAAAACTCCCTGGAACTGTCTCCCTCCCAGGAAACCATATTGCAGCTGACAGCACATGCCCTGTTCAGATTCAGCCTGAGGAACTAGAAATCATCTTTCCCATTCTTGCTCTGGTTTACAGATCACAGGTGAAGCAGATGAAATTCATTAAAATGTGTAGAAAGGTCTATCTTGCATCCCCTCCATTTTCTTCTCACCTTCTATCTCCTTTTGCCTCACTGTGAGAGCCAAGTCTATTTGTAGGATGGCATCGGTTGTAGACTGTCTGGACTGTAAATATTCCTGTAGAGCTCTTTCAGCCTAGGGACCCCAAAAACATGAAGTTAGGAGTAGGAAATGGGGATTAAGAATGTTATAAACCTTTATTTCTTTTTCATCCCTAGATCTTGTCCTTCTTGGAAGTGCTCAGCCCTGTCCTTGGTAAAACTGCCAATTAAACCTCTTCTGTGACAAGGGTGGCTGCAAAGCTCTGGGCTGGCCAATCAGAGCACCCAAGGCTACCAGATGCAGAGAATTTGGGTACAGGTGGGGAAAGACTGCAGCCTGGGTGTTTGAAAGACTGATAGGGATGCTGGGAAATATTCTCTATACTGAGACTGGGAGCACAAAAGACTAATTAAGCTTGGAGCTGTTGGTGTCATTCTCCCACCCTGTGGGTTGAGCCTGCCTGAGAATGAAATCAATAGTGAGGAAAAGAGAACAAAAAGCTGCAGTGAAAACTGGAAAAAGAAGGAAGGGGTAAAATTTATGATATTGTTTGAACTCTTGAACATAGCTATACTTGCAATAGCATTTAAACATTTTGCTTTTAGTTTATATAAGGCAGTGAATTATCATTCTTTCTTACGTTAGCTTCAATTATTGGGATCCTGTGCCATGTAACCAAGAAAGTTCCTTCATTATAATGAATGTTCATAATAGCCATAAAAGTCAGGTGATTATGGTGATATTGTTTGGTTTAATTCCACAGCTATCATTAGGTTATAAATACTCTTCCTGTACTCATTGGTTTTTTAAAGAAGCCCCTTAACAATTTCTGTGATTAATAGATAAAATTTGGAATACCTGCATTCCTTTCCTGGGCTCCTGATAATACTTTGCTTTCAACTCTTCTGTCTTCTGAACGAGGAGATGATGTCCTCCTGGCTTTGAATAAATGCCCTGCCTCACATCATTTTCCAGAGGACCAAAAATAGCCCGAAGTAAAACTGAGCAACGGAATGATGATGCCTCCATGTTCTGTTTATATAAGTCATCCTTTTTTACTTCTAGAAGAGTCTTCAGAGGGACAGAGGTCCATGGAGAAGATGTTAGCAACACTTCATAATTTCTAGAAATGGTTCTCAAAAATAATCTTTGTATTTTTTATAGAAACTAGAGGACTACAAGTAAGACTATATCCTTCCCACCAAGCCTAGAAAAATTCCAAAGATGATATACTGTAGAAAAATTACTTTGCTTTTGGGTTTGAAATTCCCTGAAACCTCTTTCTTTTGCAATTTCTGCTTCAGATGTCATCTTTAGACCACACATCTTTAGCCTCATGCTGTAATTTTAAATGCAACCTACTATTTTTCAACTTCCTGGTTTTAGTGCGACACTGGGCCTGGGATTCCCAGTGAGTATAGGGTATGCAGTAACTGGCCAGAGTGATGTAGTGTATGCTATCAAACCTGGAGACATGATCTTTTAGTAGACTCATTTGGCAATTCTGCATGCTTGATTAATAAAAAAGGAAAGTTAATGAATACTTTGTGAATATAATGCTTTAAGGAATAAGATTACTTAAAAAAATTAGTTCATGGTTGTAACATGGTAAGGTGAGTTGTGTATGTGTGAAAGTTTCAGAATCTATAGGGTCCAGGGTAGTGACACGTTTGCTTGTTTTTTTTTTTCTTTTTTCTTTTTCTTTTTTTTTCAGAATAAGTGATATCTTGATCACATAAGTGGTAATCATTATTTTCCAGTCTAGTGAGGATTGTGTTTCCCTCTTCAGTCCCCATTTTGCCTTTCATAGCAATAAAATGCAACTTTGTCTCTTATTGGTCATAAGCCTCATGAACTAGAGAAAAAAAAAAGATTATTACCTCTAATTCCTTCTGAAACTTTTGGTCCATATCCTTGAAAGAGTTCTTCATGAAGACTTCTGTGGCCTCTCTTTCACTTTCCCTATGCAAGTCCAGCAACTCATGGACAGTTTCCGTGGGCAGCTGCACCTTCTGGCTCATCTGGTGGTCATAGTGGTCAATGGCCTTTTTCACTGCTGCTGAGTTCTTGATCTGGGCCAAGGTCAAGACTGAGTTCTCCATGCAGGGCAGATCCCCACGGCTGATGGCATTAATGTACGTCAGCACGAGGCTCTTTAGATCTTCACAGAAGAGATGCTTGTGTTATTTTCAAGAAAGAGGGCATGCTCTAAACTGGGTGATTCTGTGAATGTTAATTTCACAGTGCATCGCCTGCACTTTTTCAGCTTTCTGCACACGGTGCCAGTGGCCCAAATAAGGTCCTCTGGGAAACGGTATGACCTAAAGCAAGATCTTTCTTTGGGAAAAGAAAGTATTCAAAGGGGAAAACTCAAGATGTATGTGATCATCCACATTTCATCCTTTTCTCATTGAGAAATAAGCAAATGGTTATGCAAAGTTAGGCATATTTGTTTGATTAGAATGCTATAGGCCTTTTGCCTCTTACTCTCCCCTTTTTTTCCCTCTTCCTCAGGTTTCTTTTCCCTTCAGAATGCCCTTTCATCTTTCACTTCGGTATATAAAGCTGGCATGAGCATTATCCTGTTCTGGAAAAGCAGAAAGCGAGTGTTCATTAGACCAGGTCTCCTTTATTCTTTGTTGAAACTTACCTGTTTGTCTTTCTTGTCCTTTGCATACTTTTGTTTGCACTCAACTTCCTTCTTGAATGCAGTAATAATTTACAAACTTCTGAGAGATAGAGACTCTAGTTGAAACTGGACCTAGAAGTCTGCTGGATTTCTTTTAGGGTTTTAGATAACCTGGGCCTCTGTTTAATGTTTGTATGAACTCACTTCATTTTTACAGAGAATATATATGTATTCCTCATTTCGTGTCTCTCAAAAACTGTGACATATAATTAGTATCTACTATATTGGTTGAACAAGTGATGCCAACCCATGGCATGGGTTATCTAGTTCAGTGGTGGACCATTTATGGGGATAACTTTTTTAACTTGACCTTTTTCTCAGGTTACACTTCTATTTTATCCTACTTTGGAGATATTACTTTAAAAAGCACTAGAAATATTTTTGGTACTTACTGGATTTTAATAAATATGATACACATGATTTTCTTGGTATAATTGACTACGCATTTTCAACATTGACAGTGGAAGGAGAAACTTAGGACAGTGCCCCATTCTTTGTGTTGAATTGAAGAATTCTAAAAAGGGTACTCACAGGGTCCATTGACCTTGATACCTCCTGGAAGAGTTTTAGTGTTGGAATGGTTGAAGATGTGGGAACAGAACCCTGCCACTTGTTGCATGAATTCAGGATCCAGCTCATCGTCAGGCATCGTCTCAAGCTGGGCAAGCTTCTTCCGGTGAGTGGGAGAGTCAAAGATAAAGCATTTCCTTATTGGAAAGAATTCTTTTATACATAGACGGGGCAAATTAAAGTTTTTAACACTTTCATTAGTGCCTGGGGAAAGAAAAATAGGACTCATTTAGCATAAGATTAGCATTCGAGTTAACTTATTCTCCTCAAATAAATGTGCTTCCACCTGATGTTATTTTACTACATCTTCACAGACTCTAAGCAAAAAGCTGAAAGGTAACTAATCAAGGAAAGGAAAAAAGAATTTGCTCCAAGAACAGGGGATTAATACAATTTAATATTGAGTCTATTAGTTTACTATAAACGAATATTTATTTGGTAGTTTAGCAAGGTGAGTAAATATATGAAACTATTAATTTAACCACCTACACATGAGATATAATTTCTCTTAGTACTCTTCTCTCTTTTAAAACTCAAGTCCAGCTACCTTGCTTTAGCCTTAGGGAATTCTCCAAGTATTCATCTGCTGTGATGTCTTGCCCATCTATTTCCAGGGTTAGAAAGAAATCTCTCAGAGTCCACACAAAGTCTGGACAGAAGCTCTGAAGGTTAGTTGCATCTTCAACCCCTTCAAGATCAGGTGAGGATACTTTCCTGAGCAGGTTCGACAGTTCTGTAACATAGCTGGGATGCAGTTAAGGAAAACTGATGGAAATAGGACTTCATCTAAGCCCATATATATTTAATTCCATGTCTCCCTATACATTTATTTTCCCTTTGGGTCTTAACTCCTCATTTGATCTATAAATTTAAGGACTCTCTTTCGTACCTTTAGTACTTTATATTTTTTCATTTTCGTGCTTGATTCACAAACTCACAAACACAGCTGGTAAATAGAGTTCTCTCTGGCTCCAGTGCCATCTTGGACCACATAAGGATACTGCAATAGGTCAATAGCCTTCTGATCAATTTTGTTCATAGTATTGTATACAAAGGTACTACTCAATAGTATTGCCAATGCAAAGATCTGGGCATCATTGTTCTTGTCACCCTAAAAGAACAAATTTAAGTCATGTCTCATGGTATTCTTAGATGACCAATCATTAAAAATAGGCCCTTGACTTACGTTAAGCAAGATAAACAAAAATGATTATGAGAAACATTACTATTCAAAGTTCTGTTAACATTGATAAATTTATATAGAATCATATACTGTTAACTCACCAGTTTTTCTTTTTTAAACTATTTTATTATTATTTTAATTTAAATTTAATAGTTAATATACAGGACAATATTGGTTTTGGAATAGAATTCAGTGATTCATCACTTACATAAACATCTTAATACCCATCATCTGTCTAGCCCATCTCCCATCCACCTCCCTCCACCAACCCTTAGTTTGTTCTCTATCATTAAGATTCTCTTATGGCTTGTTTCTTTCTCTCTCTTTTTTCTTTTCCCCTTCCCACGTGTTAATTTGTTCTCTTTCTTAAATTCCATATATGAGTGAGATCATATGGTATTTATCTTTCTCTGACTTCTTTCATTTAGCATAATACAGTCTAGCTCCATCAATGTCATTGCAAATGGCAAGACTTCACTCATTTTGATGGTTGAGAAACACTCCATTGTGTGTGTGTGTATGTATATATGTGTGTGTGTGTATGTATATATGCCATACCTTCTTTTTTAAAGAAATTTATTTATTCATGAGAGACATAGAGAGGCAGAGACATAGGCAGAGGGAGAAGCAGGCTGCCTGTGGGGAGCCCGACAGGGGACTTTATCCTAGGACCCTGGGATCACACCCTGAGCCAAAGGCAGATGCTCAACCACTGAGCCACCCAGGCATTCCTATACCACATCTTCTTTAACCATTCATTGGTTGCCATTTGGGCTCTCTCCATAGTTTGGCTATGGTTGATAATGTTGCTATAAACATCAGGGTGCATGTATCCCTTTGAATCTATATTTTTGTATCCTTTGGATAAATACCTAGTGATGCAATTGCTGAATCATAGAGTACCTCTATTTTTAACACTTTGAGGAACCTCCATACTGTTCTCCAGAGTGGCTGCACCAGTTTGCATTCGCCTCAACAGTGCAAGAGGGTTCCCCTTTCTCTACATCCTTACCAACACCTATTGTTTCTTGTGCTGTTAATTTTAGCCATTCTGACAGGTGTGAGATTATATCTCATCATGGTTTGGATTTGTTTTTCCCTAATGATGAGTGATGATGAGCATCTTTTCATGTGTCTGTTAGCGACCTAAATGTCTTTTTGGAAAAGTATCTGTTCATGGCTTCTGCCCATTTCTTAACTGGGTTATTTGTGTTTGAAATGTTGAATTTGGTAAGTTTGTTGTAGATCTTAGATATTAATCCTTTATCAGATACCTTGTTTGCAGATATCATCTCCCATTCAGAAAGCTATCTTTTAGTTTTGTTGATTGTTTCCTTCAGTGTGCAGAAGCTTTTTATCTTGACAAAGTCCCAATAATGCATTTTTGCTTTTGTTTCCCTTGTTTCTGGTAATGTGTCTAGTAAGAAATTGATATGGCCAAGATCAAGGAGGTTTCTGCCTATGTTCTCCTCTTGAATTTTGATGGTTTCCTGTCTCATATTAAGATGTTTCATCCATTTTCAACAACTCATTTTTGTGTATGGTATAAGTAAATGGCCTAGTTTCATTTTTCTACATGTTGCTGCCCAGTTTTCCCAATACCATCTGTTGAAGAGACTTTTTTCCATTGGCTATTCTTTTCTGCTTTGTTGAAGATTAGTTTATCATATAGTTGTGGCCCATTTCTAGGATCTCTCTTCTGTTTCATTGATTTCTGTGTCTGTTTTTGTGCTAATACCATATTGTCTTGATAATTGTAGCTTTGAAGTAGCTTGAAATCTGGAATCATGATGCCTCCAGTTTTTTTCTTTTTTTGGGATTGCTTTGGCTATTTGGAGTCTTTTGTAGTTCCATATAAATTTTAGGATTGTTTCTTCTAGCTCAATGAAGAATGCTGGTAGTATTTCAATGGGAATTGCATTAAATGTATAGATTGCAACAAACAATGTTGTTCTAATCCATGAATATGGAATGCTTTTTCCATTTCTTTATGTCCTCTTCAATTTCTCTCATAAGTGGTCTATGATTTTCAGAGTACAGATCTTTTGGTTCTTTAGTTAGATTTATTCCTAAGCATCTTATTGTTTTTGATGCAATGGCAAAGCAGATTGATTCTTTGGTTTCCTTTTTCTACTTCTTTTCTACTTTTTCTACTTCTTTGTTATTGGTGCATAGAAATGCAACCTATTTCTGCACATTGATTTCAGATCCTGCTACTTTGCTGAGCTCATGGATGACTTCTAGCAATTTTTTGGTGCAGTCCTTCAGGGTTCCTACAGAGTATCAGATTGTCTGCAAATAGAGAAAGTTTGACTTCTTCCTTGCTGATTCAGATGCCTTTTATTTCTTTGTGTTTTCTAATTGCTGAGGCTAAGACTTCCGGTACTCTGTTAAATAGTGATGGTGAGAGTAGACATCCTTGTCTTATTCCTGACCACAGGGGAAAGGTTCTTAGCTTTTCCCCACTGAGGATGATATTAGCTGTGGGTCTTTCATATATGGCTCTTATGATGTTGAGGTATGTTCTCTCTATCCCTGCTCTGTTGAGGGTTTTTATCAAGCATGGATGCTATATTTTGTCAGATGCTTTTTCTGCATCTATTGAGAGGATCATATGTTTCCTATCCTCTCTTTTATTAATGTGGTGTATCATGTTGATTGATTTGGGAATAACGAACCAGCCCTGTAGCCGGGGAATACATCCCACTTGATCATGGTGAATAACTCTTTTAATATACTGTTGGATTCCATTGGCTAGTATTTTTTTGAGAATTTGTACATCCGTGTTCATCAGGGATATTTGGCCTGTAATTCCCCTTTTTAGTGGGGTCTTTGTCTGGTTTTGGAACTAAAGTAATGCTGGCTTCATAGAATGAATTTGGAAGTTTTCCTTCCATTTCCACCTTTATGGAATGTTTTGGGAAGAATAGGTATTAACTCTTCTTTAAATGTCTGTGGAGTTCCCCTGGGAAATCATCCAGCCCAGGACTTTTGTTTGTTGGGAGGTTGTTGATTACTGATTCAATTTCTTTGCTGGTTATGGGTCTGTTCAAATTTTCTATTTCTTTCTGTTTCAGTTTTGGTAGTTTGTAAGTTTCTAGGAATTTGTCCATTTCTTCCAGATTGCCCGGTTTGTTGGCCTGTGATTTTTCATAGTATTCTCTCATAATTGTCTATATTTCTGTGGTGCTGGTTGTGATCTCTCCCCTATCATTTGTGATTTTATCTATTTGGGTCTTTTCTCTCTCTCTCTCTCTTTGGATAAGTCTTAGAGTGGATTATCAATTTCATTAATTCTTCTGAAGAACCAGCTCTTAGTTTCATTAATCTGTTCTCCTAGTGTTTTCTATCCATTGATTTCTGCTCTCATCTTTAGTATTTCTGTTCTTCTGCTGGCCTTAGGCTTTATTTGCTGTTCCTTTTCTAGTCCTTTGGGTGTAAGGTTAGGTTGTATATTTGAGACTCTTCTTGCTTCTTGAGGTAGGCCTGTGCTGTAACATATTTCCCTCTTAAGCGTGCCTTTGCTGCATCCCAAAGGTTTTGGGCTCTTGTGCTCTCTTTTTCAATTTTTCCTATATATATTTTAAATTCTTCTTTAATTTCCTTATTAACCCATTCATTCTTTAGTAGGATGTTCTTTAACCTGCATGTATTTGAGGTCTTGCCAAATTTTTTCCTGTGGTTGGCTTCTAGTTTCCTAGCATTGTGGTCTGAAAATATGCATGGCATGATCTCAATCGTTTTGTACTTGTGGAGGGCTGATTTGTGACCCAGTGTGTGATCTCCTCTAGAGAATGTTTGAGGTGCACTAGAGAAGAGTGTGTACTCTGTTGCTTTAAGGTAACAATTCTGGATATATCTGTTAAGTCTGTCTTGCCCAGTGTGTTCTTCAACACCATTGTTTCCTTGTTGGTTTTCTGCTTAGATGATGTGTCCCTTGCTGTAATTGGGATGTTAAAGTCCCTTACCGTTATTATATTATCATCAGTGAGTTTCTTTATGTATGTTATTAATTAATTTATATATCTGGGTTTTCTCACATCGGGGGCATAAATATTTCCAATTGTTAGATCTTCTTGATAGATAGACCCCTTAATTATGATAAAAAGCCTCCTTCATCTCTTGCTCTTTGTTTAAAAATCTAGGTCTGCTATAAGTATGGCTACTTTTTCTTTTGACATCTGTTAGCATGGTAGATGGTTCTCTATCCCTTCACTTTCAATTTTTTAAAAAATATTTTATTTATTCATGAGAGAGATGGAAAGAGAAAAAGAGAGAGAGAGAGAGAGAGAGAGAGAGGCAGATACACAAGCAGAGGGAGAAGCAGGCTGCATGCAGGGAGCCCGATGTGGGACTCAATCCTGGGTCTCCCGGATCACGCCCTGGGCCGAAAGCAGGTGCCAAACCACTGAGTCACCCAGGGATCTCAGTCCCTTCACTTTCAACCTGTAGGTGACTTTAGGTCTAAAATGAGTCTCTTGTAGGTACCATATAGATGGATCATATTTTTCAATCCATTCTGATACATTATGTCTTTTGACTGGAGCAGTTTTTACATTTACATTCAGAGTGATTATTGAGAGAATGAATTCAGAGCGTATATCTCTGCCATTCTCTTTGTGGCTCTCATGAATAAATAAAATCTTTTAAAAAAATTCTTGCAGGACTGGCCATGAACCCCTTTATTTTTTGTCTGGAAAACTCTTTCTCCTCTTTTGACTAAGAGCTTGCTGGATGAAGAATGCTTTGCTGCATATTTTTTCCCATTCAACATGTTGAATAATTCCTTTCACTCCTTTCTGGCCTGCCAAGTCTCTCTGGATGGATCTGCTGAGAACCTGATCTGTCTTCCCTTGTAGGTTAAGGACTTTTTTTCCCTTGTTGCTTTCAGGATTCTTTCCTTGTCTGTGTACTTTGTGAATTTGACTGTGTTATGCCTTTCTGATGGTGGGCTTTTATTGAATTTAATGGGAGTTCTCTGTGCTTCTTGGATTTTGATGTCTGTGCCCTTCCCCAGATTTGGGAAGTTTTCAGCTAGAATTTATTCAAATAAACCTTCTGCCCCTTTATATCTCTCTTTATCTCCTGGGACTCCTATGATAGGAATGTTACTACATTTTACTAAGTTGCTGAGTTCCCTACATCTACTTTCACGGTCCATTACTTTCTTTCCCTCTTCTTTTTGGCTTCATTATTTTCTATAATTTTATCTTCTATATCGCTGATTCATTCATCTGCTTCATCCATCCTCATTTTTATGGCCTTCATTTGTGTTTACATCTTAGTTATAATATTTTAAATTTTTGTGTGACAAGATTTTAGTTCTTTTATCTTTATAATGAAGGATCCTCTAGTGTTTTCTATGCTTTTTTCAAGCCCAGCTAGTATCCTTATAGTTGTTGTTTTAAATTCTAGTTAAGATATAATTTACTTAATTCTACATTGATGAAATCCCTGGCAGTGAGTTCCACCTCATGTTCTTTCTTTTGGAGTGAATTCCTCTGTCTCGTCATTTTTCCCAGAAAAGAAAATAAGAAAGAGAGAAAAGGAACAACACCAGCAACTAAAAACATACAAAACCAAAAACAGAAACACAAAGCAAGAAAACCAAAAACCCACTAGACCCTGGGTGTGTTTTGATCTGTTTGTTAAAAGAATCTAGATCATAAAATTTAAAAAATAAGGTAAGATAAAATGAAAGAAAAAAATCAAAAACATGTATGAAAAGTATTAAAAATTAAAGTTAATAGTAAAAATTAATAAAAGATTTGGAAATATAGGAAATTAAATGAAAAAATAATATATTTAAAAGAAATAAAGAATAAAAGTAAACAGGAAGCTCAGTCCTGTTTCTCCTAGAACTGAAGCTTTGCAGCACTCTATGATCAATAAATTTGTTACAAGCTAGTTGTCTGTGCTGGTCTTCTGGGGGAGGGACCTGCTGCGCTGATTCTCAGGCTGATACGTTTCTGTGGAAATACTTCTCCAGGGGCATGGGGGTGGGGCTTGGCGTAAGCAGCTCTGGCCTTCAATAGGTGGCACCGTTTGCTCCCTGAAGACTTTCTGCACTTCCAAAGGCTTTTCTACTTGTATATGTGCAGTTTTTGTTCTCTCAGACTTCTGATTGACTTCTTGGGTGTTCAGACTAATTTAATAACTATCTGGCCGTGTTTGAGGGATAAGACAAGCTTAGGGTCCTCCTACTTCCCTGCCTTCTTAACTCCTCCTCCCTCACCAGTTTTTCTTATAACTAGTTAGGTATTTGGAATGGATAGTCAAAGTTAGTGGAGGTAACCAGAGTACTTAAAATCAATATTTTCATCAAAAACACAAAAAACAATAATTGTTGGTAAGGATGTGGAGAAAAAGGAACACTTGTGCACTTTGGTGGAAATGCAAACTGTTGCAGCCACTGTGGAAAACAGGGTGGAGTTTCCTCAGAAAATTAAAAATAGAACTGCCGTATGATCCAGTGATTCCACTACTGGGAATTTACCCAAAGAGTACAAAAACACTAATTCAAAAAGATGCATGCATCCCTATGTTTATTGCAACATTATTTACAATAGCCAAAATATGGAAGCAACCCAATTGATGAATGGATGAAGAAAAAAAAAATACACACACACACACACACACACACACGAATATTACTCATTCATAGAAAAATGAGTTCTTGCCATTTGCAACAACATGGATCTAGAGGGTATAATGCAAAATGAAACAAGTCAGATAGAGAAAGACAGATACCCTGTGATTTTACTCATATGTGGAATTTAAGAGACAAAACAAACAAAAATTAAAATTAAAAAATTTTGGTCTCTTAACTATAGAGACCAAACTGATTATGGGGAGGGTGGATGGATGAAATAGGTGAAGGGGATTAAGAGTACATTTACAGTGACAAGCACTGAATAATGTGTAGAATTGTTGAATTGCTATATGATACCCTGAAAATGATATAACACTGTACATTAATTATACTGGAATTAAATAAAGGGAATAAAGGGAAAAATCAAGATCTTCAATTGTGTAAAACAAATTTGGCCTATACACATAATACATATATTTACTTTATTGACTAGTTATTATACACAGGACAATTCACATTACTGATTTTGTCTAATACTCAAAACAGTGCCATGAGATATGCTTATAACTACTGTTTTCATGTTACAGATGAAGAAACTAAAGCACAAAATGAGTTAACCATCTTGACTTTGTGGCAAACCAAAAAGCAAAATGGAAACAAAAAACAAGAGAAGTGGGGATCCCTGGGTGGCTCAGCAGTTTGGTGCCTGCCTTTGGCCCAGGGCGTGATCCTGGAGTCCTGGGATAGAGTCCCACATCAGGCTCCCTGCAGGGAGGGAGTGGCCTCCCTGCCTGTGTCTCTGCCTCTCTCTCTCTCTCTCTCTCTCTCTCTCTACCCCATCTCTCATGAATAAATAAAATCTTTAAAAAAAAAAGAGAGAGAACTGAAAGGGAAAATTTCCATTGTATGCTAGAGCCAACTCATACCAGCTTACAGGAGCTGACTGTACACATCTCTTCTGAACCCAGAGTTTAGTGACTTCACTTTGGAAGCTTGGAATCAGCTTTAATGAGAATATTTAAAAAACTGGCAAGTGTTACAAATCAAATCTTTCCCCTAACTCCCACACAGTTAGCTGGTTGTTAAATATCAATATAAAAGTGGAAAAAGCCCACATGTCTACTGTCCAAATGCTAAGTTGGATAAGGCCAAAAGGGAAGTAAAAGATTTGAGGAGATTTGCATGTCAAGGTCAGAGAGCTACAAGTGCCAGGGCCTTATTTTAACCCAAGGTCCTCTGACCCAGAACTCACTACTAATTACTCTTTTCTGCAGGATCAGACTCGTGACAGTGCTTTGATTTGTACCATCTTTTCTGGATTTCAGTTAACTGCCTAGCTCTATGTTAGTGTCTTGTTCCAGTCATGATTCTGGCTTATAAATATATTTTTCTCATCTCAGATTTCCAAATTTCAACTATGAAAAATAGAAAGGGGGGAAAAGTTATACTCTATCAAGTAGAAGTACAAATTTAGAAAAACAAAAAACCTCCCTTCGTAAAGAATGTTCAGAGGAATCTAAAGGTATTTTTGTTCCTTACCTTCTCTACATCTCCTAGACCCTCCGTGTCAAGAAGAACTAGAGTGTGGTTCGGCTTTTTGGGATGAGGCACACACCACATCCAGATACCCTTGGTGTGAGACTGCACTGTGGATCCAATAGAGAAGCCTGCAAGGGGGAAGGGAGAGGTAGTAACAGAGGAGGGGATCTGGAAGTTAGACACCTTCTTGACAACTGAGCTAGGGTTTAAGGGATGTAAGATGAAGACACATCAAAAAGTATAACCAGTACTGATCTGAATTAGAATAGAGGATTGGAAAAATGAGAGTCTCAAATACCAGAGTTTAGAAGTTTGATATTTTTCCTTTTTACAAGAATGTCACACTACTAAACATTTAATAGTTTGTAATTACATATATAGAAATTATTTTATTGATGTTTTACTCCTTATGATTGGAAAATATGCTTTTTCCAGGGAGAAACTAAGAGAGGAAAAGGAGGTGACGTGTCATGAATAGACCTCTGCCTTTGTTTCCAAAAGATAATTAGCCACCTGTGGCCCAAACATTAACTTTCAGTATTCCTCCCAGGCTCTAACTTTCTCTCCATGCCTCACTGCACTCAGTGCTGGCAGTGTGGGTGAGCAGAAGGGACTGAGCAGAGCTTTGTTGGTGCCACTCACCCTTGTTCTTCCCAGCCAGCTTGTTCATCAGGTAGGATTTGCCTGTTCGGTAGAGGCCCACAATAGCCACCACCACAAGAGGATTCCTAGTGGCTGACAGGATCTCCAAAGCTTCCTGATTAGCCAGAAGTTGCCCTCCATTGTTCTCAATGAGGCACACTGGGGCTGGCATGTAGATCTTTGGCGTCATGTCTAGGGTGTGACTTTGTCTGCAAGGGAAGAGATGAGATAGGTTGAAATTTCTAGTCTTATAGAAGAAAAAGTCATTTTGCTTTCTGGACTTGGGGACATATTACTTTCCAACATTCCCTAAATTCTTGAAGAAATTTTGAAAAATGGAGAGCAAAGATGGTCATAGTAAAATAAGCTCTACGCCCTATTATAGGCTACCCCACTGGTCTTTAAATATTTGTTGGGCATAAGGAAATCGATTTCCTGAGTTTTACCTACTGCTAATTTAAAATCTGACTCTCTTTGGTTTTTGGCTTGCTTGTAATCTCTAGTTTTTACCTCCCTAAATCCTCAGACTGAATCTTTATAAACATTATTTGTTATATTACACTTCTTGCTTTTACCCTTTATCAACTTGCTTCTGTCTCATGTAGGGCTATGTCCAGTCAAACTGTATTATACTAAATCCCACCAGGTCATTATGTAGCATAATCTAACAAATCATAATTTTTTACTTTAAAAAAAAACAAATTTATTTCTTTTTATTCCTTTTTTTTTAAAGAGAAAGAGAGAGAGAGAGCACAAACCAGGGAGGGGCAGAGGGAGAGGGAGAAAGAGAGTCTCAAGCAGGCTCTACACCTAGCATGGAGCTGGATGTGGGGTTTGATCTCATGACCCTGAGATCATGACCAGAGCTGAAACCAAGAGTTGGGATGCTTAACCAACTGAGTCACCCAAGTGCCCCTTATACCTACTTTTAAGGAATTTTTTTGTATAGGTATAGTAGTGCTTTCTTCAGTCAAAACTTCAGTGCATGATTGTTTTATGAACGAGGGAGCGAGTGAAAATGCCTTCTTAAATAATACTTGACTATTGACTTCTGAGCATCAATTCCTATAGAGTTCCTGATAAAGCATTTTTAGGCTGAGACTCAAGCAAGTGTTTGCTTTTCTGCCTTATGAAGAGCAACTTTCTTCCATTTTAGGAGTGATTATTTACTACAGAAGCTAAAAATCCAACATCTGCTTGAATTTTTCTTTCATTAAAAACTTACAATGAAGAGTTATGGATTCCTTTATTAGCCAGCAATAAAAACTGTTTTTTAAAAATTATAAAAACCCGGGATCCCTGGGTGGTGCAGCGGTTTGGCGCCTGCCTTTGGCCCAGGGTGCGATCCTGGAGACCCGGGATCGAGTCCCACGTCGGGCTCCTGGTGCATGGAGCCTGCTTCTCCCTCTGCCTGTGTCTCTGCCTCTCTCTCTCTCTGTGTGTGTGTGTGTGTGACTATCATAAATAAATAAAAATTAAAAAAAAAATTATAAAAACCCATTCTTCCCTCTTCCTCATAGCTAATGCATTGGAGATTATTCAGGTGACAAATGAAAACAAACTGCTTAAGAGCAGTTCATAAATGATCCTTTGCAAAGGATGGCACAAATGGCACAGCACCATGGACATGGGAGCCAGGAAATGCCCAGGCCAACCTGAACCCACAGAGAGATTCCATGATTTTACAGACTCAAATGCTAATTCTCTTTCCATTCTAATGCATCTCTATTGCAGTATCAGTTCCATACATTTGTAGATTTCTGGTTGCTTGATTTGTATAAAGCAGGGGTCATAATCATTTTTAGATTACAAAGGTACGGGGAACTGGCAGTGATGATCTACAATTAGCTAGAAAAACAACATACACAATCCAAATCTATTTGCAGATATTGGAGGCTTACAAACTCTTGTACTTTGGGATGATGTCATTAACAGGAGGAACTAATCGGTCTGAATTTTCAGACCTCCTAAGGAATAACATTTATGTTAATAGAAGTATTTATGTTAATATGTGTATTTATGTTAATAGAAGTATTTTACGCATTGCCCCCAAATGTTATCTAGGTGACATCTTTAATTCTTTTCGGAGAGCCCAATCTTGAAAACATCTTTGCAGTTGTGATATGAACACACCCACATATAACTAACTGTTGCTCTGCCATTCTCAGCTCAGTTTATAGGTATAAGCTCTAAGGGGCAAACAAAATTGCCAGACAGTATTGATGGGCCAAGTTGGGCAACTGGAATTAAATGATTCATAATAGTAGAGACAATAGAATAGAAACAGAATCCAGCACAAAAAGCCTTAAGGAATGAGTGTGTTCCAGGAAATCAAAATTAATTAATCCAGGGTTATTTTTTAAAAAAAGATTTTATTTATTAGAGAGAGAGAGAGAGAAAGAGAATGAGCAGTGGGAAGGGGCAGAAGGAGAGAGAGAGAGAGAGAGAAACAGTCCCTGTTGAGCAAGAAGCTTGATGTGGGGCTCGTTCTGAGAAGCTGGAGATCATGACCTGAGCCAAAGACAGATGCTTAACCAACTGAGCCACCCTGGCACCTCAATCCAGTGCTATTTCTAAAGGAAGAAACCCACCTTAAAAAAAATAAGACTATGACTAAAAGTATATAGCTGCTTTCAATGACCCTCTGCACTGTTCATTCTGAGTTTCAATTTTTTTCTTTTTCTGTTTTTAACAATGTTAGCAAGCTACTTACATCTCATTCATTGCTCTTTCTCATAAAAATTATTCAGTCGCAGTTCTTCAGACTATCAGACTGCAGTTTGAAATAACTTAATTAGGTTTTATCAAAAAGAAAGGATCTCAAGGTGGCAAAGGAAGAAAAACAGTGTTAGGACATTTCAGGCTGTCAGTTTATTCCTCCACACATGCTTGTGTCTGATTCAGCAGTAACCAAATGTATCTGGGGCTCAGTTAATTCTGGGGATCCCTGGGTGGCTCAGCGATTTGGTGCCGCCTTCGGCCCAGGGCGCGATCCTGGAGACCCAGGATCGAGTCCCACATCAGGCTCCCTGCATGGAGCCTGCTTCTCCCTCTGCCTGTGTCTCTGCCTCTCTCTCTCTCTCTCTCTCTCTCTCTCTCTCTCTGTCTTTCTCTGTGTGTGTTTGTGTCTCTCATGAATAAATGAATAAAATATTTTTTAAAAATTAAAAGAAAAATTCTGCTACCTGTCTTGTAACATCACAATTTAGTCTTTAAAGGTGTCTAATGTCCACATCAGGCTTGGCTGCATCCTATCCTGGATAGAAAGTTTTAAAAACATTCTGACCCTTGTAAATCTTTTCCACTCCTGCCCTAGTCTTACCTTATATAACTGCAAGATCAGTAGCAGAGATCCTTCAGAGCTGGTAAGAAAGCTGCTTCCCTGAGAAGGTGCTAAGAGCTCTTTGTCCTTCTTAAGTGTGTTGATTTCTGATATCTTTGCTTTTCACAATTCTGGGAATTTCTTACTACCACCCCCTCCCCCAGACCATCAGAGAGCAAAGGATTAGAATATGAAATACCAACCAAAAGTAGAAAGAGTCTTCAAAACCTCATACATATAGAAACTGAAACCACAAGACAATCTCAGGGACTAGTCACTTCAACAGTAATTTCCTGAGTATTTCCTGGTGAATGGGCTGGATGTTGGGCCTGAATTATTAGAAACTGCATGTTGTTAGTGGAAGAGACTGTTTTTGCAATTTTTGAGATTGCTTCTTTGAGATTGAGATCAGTTGTGGGTTTTTTTTTTTTTCCTACTGTAAGCCTGGTCCTCAGAGCTGTGAGGAACCATAATAGGTCTACAGTCATAGTGAATATAACCCCAAAGTATGCCTGAGTTTTGTGAATGTGCCTTTTCTGTTTATTTTTAAGGAAGCCCTCCTCCTCTGCCTCTGCCTCCTCTCCCCCCCCCCTTCTTCTAAGATTTATTCATTTATTTTATAAGGAGAGCACACAGCAGCTGGGGAGGGGCAAAGGGAGAGGGAGAGAGAGAATCCAAGCAGACTCCCTCTGGAGCACAGAGCCAGATATGAGGGCTCGATCCCAAGATCTAACCTGAGCCAAATTCAAGAGTTGGTGCTCAATCAACTGGGTCACTTAGGTGCCTTAGGACACAGCCATTCTACAACACACAAAATAAATTGCTGTATAATTTCAGTGAAAGAAAATTAACTTCCTAAGGAGATAAATGCTGACAAGGTTTAAATAACTTGAAAAATGATCAGTCATTACTGGGTCGATAGTTTTTTGTAAGTGTATCTTTCACAAGTCAGGCAAATACTCAAACCAAACCCTTTGAATACCTACTATATACTGCAGCATTTAAAGACAAGCAAAAAACAAACAAGCACATCATAATCTCTATAAGGATAGTTAAGTCTAGATAAATACAATCTACTGCTTCCCCCATCTCCCTAAATCTGTTTTCCCAAGCATGTAAATATTTTGGGGGTTTGTCTTCCTTATTTTCAACCATTGTCTAATAGTATTGGCACATTTTTCAGAGCTTCATGACTTAGCTTTAGCTACAACTGTCAACTGCCCAAAATATTAATAATAAAAAGTACTCTAAGGTCTTTTTCTTATTATTAAGATATTATCAACATATAACATTGTATTAGTTTTAAGTGTACAACATAATGATTTGATATATGTGTATATCCTGAAATGATTACCACAGTGGGTTTAGTTAACATCTATCACCACACATTGTTACAGATTTTGTTTTCTTATAATGAGAACTTTTAAGATCTACTCTCATAGCAGGGTACAGTACAGTATTGCTAACTCTAATCACAATGTTTATTTATCTCGTAACTGAAAGCTTACACCTTTTGACCATCTTCACACATTTCTTCTCTTGCTTCTCTCACATTCTTCCTTTGTGACTTGATTTTTTTAAATATTTTATTTTTTTTATTCGAGAAACACACACACACACACAGAGAGAGAGAGAGAGAGAGAGAGAGGCAGAGACACAGGCAGAGGGAGAAGCAGGCTCCATGCAGGGAGCCCGATGTGGGACTCGATCCTGGGTCTCCAGGATCAGGCCCTGGACTGAAGGTGCTAAACTGCTGAACCACCGGGCTGCCCTTGATGATTTTTCTTGTAATGGTGTGCTTAGAAATTCTTTATCTTTTTATCTTTTTGCCCCTACTATGGGTTTTTGCCTTGTGAGTACTTAAAACAGAGTAATAACAGTATATTTTAAGTTGAAAATAAGTTTGAATGCATTCTAAAGCTCTATATTTTTACTCCCTACACCTAAAACATTTTATGTTTTTGACACAACAGTTTATACATTTTTATCTTTCTATCCATTAATAAATAAGTGTAGTTATCTGTTTTTACCACTTCTTTTAATTTTTATATTAGATTTATGAGCGACTTAGTTTATTCTGAATTTAACTATATATTTACCTTAATCTTTACCTGAGATTTATACTTTCATGTGTTTTCCTGTTATTAATTATTGCTTTTTTTGGTTTCAGCTTAAAAGAAGCACCCTTAACATTTAATGGTGATGAATTCCTTCAGCTTTTGCTTGTCTAAAATATCTTCATCTTCTTAAATTCTCAAGGACAACTTTATTGGCTAGAGTATTCTCAGTTGGTAGTTTTTTCCTGCATATATCTTAAATATATCTTGCCACTCCGTCTCTCTTGCAAAGTTTTAACTGAGTTTTAACTTCATACTTTCATACTTTTTAACTGAAAGATCTCCTGGTGGTACTGCAAAAATTGTTCCCTAACAAGTAGTTTTCCCTTGCTGGGTTTAAGATTCTCTCCTTGTCTTTAACTTTTCACTAATTATAATGTGTCTTATGAGTCTTCTTGGATTCATTTTATTTGGAACTGTATAGATTTTTGGATTTGAGGGTCTGTTTTCTACATCATGTTAGGGAACTATTCAACCATTATTTCCTCAAGTTTTCTGCTCCTTTGTCTTTCTTTTCTCCTTCTGGGATCCCTACAGAGCAAATATTGGTCAGCTTGCTATTATCCTATAAGTTCCTTAAACTATCTTCATACTTTTTCTTTTTTTCTTTTTGCTCCTCGATTGGATGAATTCCACTGCCCTATCTTTGAGTTTGCTGATTCTTTCTTGCCTTTTTTTTTTTTAATGGGAAGAAGAGAGAAGGGGATGGGGGAGAAGCAGAGGGACAGAGAGAGAATCTTAAAGAGGCTCCCTGCCCAGCATAGAGCCTGACATGGGGCTTGAACTCACAACCCTGAGATCATAATCTGAGCCAAAATCAAGAGTCAAATGCTTAATTGACTGAATCACCCAGGTACCCCTTTCTTGCTTTTTGTATTAAATTTTTATTTTAATTCCAGTATAAGTAACATACAGTGTTATAGGGGGCACCTGAGTGGCACAGTCAGTTAAGTGTCATACACTTGATTTCAGCTCAGGTCATGATTTCAGGGTCATGGGATGGAGCCCTGTGTTGGGCTCTGCACTCGGTGTGGAGTCTGCATGAGATCCTCTTCACCTACCCTTCCCCCTGGCTCATACTTGCTGTCTTTGTCTCTCTCTCTCTAATAAAAAAAAAAATTAACCACCATATGGTGTTATATTAGTTTCAGGTATACAATATAGTCATATGACAATTCCATAAATCACCCAGTGCTCATGACAAGTGTCCATCTTAATCCCCATCACCTATTTCCCCTATCTTCCCATCCACCTCTGCTTAGGTAACCATCAGTTTGTTCTCTATCATTTAGAGTCTGTTTCTTAGTTTTTCTCTTTTTTTCTTTTTCCTTTACTCATTTGTGTTGTTTTTAAATTCCACATATGAATGAAATTGTATGGTATTGGTTTTACTTATTTCACTTAGCATTATACTCTCTAGCTCCATCCATGTTGTTGCAAATGACAAGATTTCATTCTTTTTTTTACAGCTTAGTAACATTCCACTGTATATATACATAGGATATATAGGATACATATACTGTATGTATAACAGGATCCCATGAAAACAAATCAGACAGTATAAGTCCTTGAACAGGTGATAGCCAAAGCACTCTCAGCAGGGGAGGCAAGCCCATATCTAGAATTCATACTAATTCTAGGAAGAACAATTGTTATCTCCTTCAGGGTATAAAGGGACTGGTGTGATCATCTTGTCATTTAGTGACTGGTTGGTATCCTTAATAGATGATAACACATTAAAGGCTCAGCATTGAGCTCTGTTGCCTTCAGGTCAAGCATTTAACATGCAATGTGATTAGCTTTGGTGAGATATAGTCCAGGCTAATAGGTTCATATGAGGCCTCTATCCCTGCTACCGTGTCTACTCTGAAGAAGAAATGGGTGGTTGAGGAGAAAAAGTGACTCAAATCTACTGGATGAGTCTTTCTAGTCACCTGATTGCTCAGTGTCTCTGGAGTGTATACTCTATGGTGAACATTGACATAAAGATCCATGTAGGTTATATGCCCACTCTCCAAGTTAATTTACAGACCTCCTTATCTCTGATGATCCAGTAATGGTCCTTCTAAGCTGTGGCCAACTAGATAAACCATTGCCACTGCTCAAGATTCTATGTGTATTTTTACTTCAGACCACTTTTTCCTTTATATAAAACAGATAGCCTGTTGTTTGAAACTCTATCCACAGGGAAGATTTCTACACATCAGTATCTTTTGGGGTCATCCCTACATGTAGCAGCAATAAATGTTCAATTTGGTTTTTTAAATAGAAAAATCCAAACATTGGAGTTAGAACAACTATAACATTTCAGACTCTGAATTGAGGTTCTAAGATGTATTGAAAATGTCTTACACAGAAATTCAAAATTCTGTTGGCTTCATGTCTTCCTCTAGCCTCTGCCATTTTTACCATTTCAGCAGCTTTGTATGGTTTTTCGCCTGGGTTGGTGCTTCTTATCTTCTATGCTTTTACAGTGTGGAACCCTAATGAGAATTTACTTGATATTCTTTCACGTATAATCCCAAAGTGTACATTTATATGGATGGAAGCCAATGAGGAAATGCTTTCCTATTTTTTTTTCTGTGTGTTTCATTCTGAGATCGTTTTCATAAAATATCTCAGAGTGTTCTGCTGAGATCAGTTAGCAATAACTCACAGTGGTGACTGTATGATGACTTATTCTTTCACTGTTTTTTTCATTGACCTTCCCTTCTTGTTTTACTCCCGTGATCCTCTATCCTAATCTCTATCCTTTCCTGGTATCGTTTTTCTAAAACAACTCTTTTCTAAAGATTTATTTATTTATTTATGATAGACATAGAGAGGGAGAGGGAGAGGGAGAGGGAGAGAGAGAGAGAGAGAGAGAGAGAGAGAGAGAGAGAGGCAGAGACACAGGAGGAGGGAGAAGCAGGCTCCATGCTGGGAGCCTGACGTGGGACTCGATCCCGGGACTCCAGGATCGCG